TCAGGCCCAGAGGGAAGAGGAGGGGCCGGCCTCCGTGGCAGCAGGAGATCCAGCAGCAGCCCAGAGCCCTGCGGCCTCCCTCCTGGGCAGTGTCTGTGCAGGGAGCTCAGTGGGGCACCCGCCTGTTCCTCCTGGGCTGGGGGACAAGCACCCGCGGGGCCCAGTGTCGCCTGACCAGTCGCCAACCTTGCCCTCCTCTCCTAGCTGACCCCATGTTGCTCTAGATGCAGTTTGGTCATCCTCAGAGGGAAGAGGACAGCCACCTGCCTCACGGGGGGGGGGGGGGGGTGAATGAACACACACACACACACAGGGGTGCTCAGTGCCACGCCCCATATCAGATGCTGATGACGAAGAGTGGCTTGTCCTCTGAACAGTGGCTTGTCCTCTGTCCTTACAGGTCACCAGCCATTCCAAGGACCCTCCTTACCTTGGCCACGGCTACTGTTCACTGGATCTGTTTACCTGGAGAGTCCCGCAGGCCTCACTGCCAGGTTCCCTGACCTCCTCTCTAACCTCTGAGAATGCACCAGCTCCCACAACTGTGACTGGCCCTCCAAGAGACAGAAGCCTTGGGGATCCCTGGGTGGTGCAGCGGTTTGGCCCAGGCCTTTGGCCCAGGGCGCGATCCTGGAGACCCGGGATCGAGTCCCACATCGGGCTCCCGGTGCATGGAGCCTGCTTCTCCCTCTGCCTGTGTCTCTGCCTCTCTCTTTCTCTCTGTGTGACTATCATAAATAAATAAAAATTAAAAAAAAAAAAAAGAAGCCTTTCTGGTCAGATAAACCCAAGAGAGAGCCTCACGACATGCCAAGAGCAGAATGGGGCCTCAAGATGGTAAACAGGTGGCCCTGCCAGGCCACATCCAGGTACTGAGCCACAGGAATGGTAATCACGGGTTCCAGCAGACCTGTGCGCACCTATGCTTGCCCAGCAGACGCCCACAGTCAGAGCCGGAGCAGCCACATGCACGGCAGCCAGATGGATGGAAAAACAGCGCAGTGTTGTTCAACCATTGACAACCAGGACACTGTGACACCCACTGCATGGCTGAACCTTGAGGGTGTTAGGCTGAGCAAAACAAACTAATCACAAAAGGGCAAATATTCTAGAATTCCTCTATGTGAGGTCTCCAGAGCAGTCAATTCAAACAGACCCAAGGCAGGGTGGTGGGTGCCCCCAAGGATGGCGAGGGGGTGGGGGTGGGGAGCGGGAGGAGTTGCAGGACAGGAACAGGTTCCGTCTGTGATGATGAGAAAGTTCTGGAGACAGATGGTGGTGATGGGGCCCCAAGAGTGTGAACGTACTTAATGTCACTGAACCAGACACTTAAAAATGGTTAAAACAGGGAGCATCTGGCTGGCTCAGTTGGTAGAGCCTGAGGCTCTTGATCTCAGGGTTGTGAGTTCGAGCCCCACGATGGGCATAGAGCTCACTTAAGACAAATGGGTAAAATAATGTTATGTATATTTTACAACAAAAAAGTGGCATGCCTTACTCCATTTCGATGGCCTGAAAGTAGGGTCCCTGGACCAGCATGACCCGAGAAGTTGTTAGAAAGGCAAATTCTCATGTGGACCCCAGACAGACCAGATCTACCAACGCAGAGCCGGGAGGGGGGCTGGGCACGACCTGTGTTTCCACAAGCCCTCCAGGGTGTTGTGAAGCACGCTGCAGTTTGAAAACCACTGCCCTGCATAACCCTATCGCTTCTAGCTACTTTCTCCACTCAGGCTCCTCCTTTACTGCCCCCCCCACCCACCACCACTTAACAGCAACTAAGAACCCTGGGTCGGGAGGCTGGCAGGATGGGCCTGTGATGGGCCATTCCCACCAATACTCAGAAGGGCCTCCTGCCTCGGGGAGAAGTGAAGGTCTCCATGCTTCCCCAACAGGGCTCCAAGGGCCCCATCGGAACTGCGCGGGGTGGGGGGCGGGGGGGTGTCATTCTATAAACGTTTCCAGACCTCACACACACAGATGCCAGTTCAGGAGATCCAGGAGGCCCCCAGGAATCTGAGACACCTCAGGGGAGTCTGCCCACACTCAGTGAACCAGTGAAAAAGATGGTTATGGGCATGGAGTCAGAGGACCTGCATCAAATTCTGGCTCTGCCACGTTCCTTCAGCAACCACAGCACTCTCCAGCGAGATCTGGAACTTCTAACTCTGAACGTCAGTAGCACCCACCACAAAACAGGCTGCGTCGAGGCTCTCAATACCCCCGGTTATGTGACTGGCTCATTATCCACCTGCCAACCCTTTCCCACTGTCCTATTCAAAGGCATCTCCATACCCACCCTCAAAGGCATGGGTTTGGTGTCAGAGCTTTCCGGGCTCACAGCGAGCATTCCTCAGCCACACCTGGAGGACCCCGTGCTTCAGCCCCAGGAAGAATGTGAGCAAATGGCCCCAGCCTTCAGCTGCAGCCTCTCCCCCAGGCCTGCTGAAACCGCCCCACCCCCATGAATCCCACACAAAGCAGTGCCACCCGAAGAGGAAAGGTCACATGTGCCAACTGAAAAATGAGAGCGAACAGGCTCACCTTCCTCTACACCACTGCCACTGACTTGTGTGCTCTCTCTCCACACTGCACCCTGCCCCCTGGTCACCTCCCCGCTTCTCATCCCATACGTGGACCACCCACTGAACCAGGTCAACACTCTGCTCCCCTGAGGAGTCCTTCCAGGCTAGCCATACCTTTAGCTGCACCAGTAAGCTCCCAGCCTCTGCCCCACTGTAGTTAATGGTCTTACACCGAGAGGTTAAGGCCCAGACTTGGGAATCAGGCCTGCATCTGATACCTTTTCTCATGGTAAAGCTAGGGCATCCTAGACAAGTATTTTAACTTGTCACTCAGGACTGGCACAGGCTACAGGGTGTCCATGGGGCATACCCCTTATGGGCACACATCTGGGAATCCGCTTGGAAGGGCACTGCACATCTCAGAGCTGCAGAGCGCCTCGGGTGAAGCAACAATGGAGTCTAGCGGCAAGAGCAGGTGGCCCAAGAGAGCACAGCTAGATTCTAGAGCCTGCAGCCTGGCAGCGCTCCAGGCGCGGTTAGCATGCAGAATCTCCGGCCTCCCCCAGCACCCACCACGGGTTCTCCAGCACCCACTGCGGGTTCAGCAGAGAGGACCCTCAGCACCCAGGCCCAAGTCCCTCTCCTCCAGCTCTGTCTCCTGCAATGGCTGAGATTGCTGCTAGCTTGGAGTAGGAATCTGCATTTTAACAGGCTCCCCAGGTGATTCCTATGGACAGGCCAGTTCCGAAACCACTGCTTTAGAGAATGCCCCCCCTTCCTGCCCCACGCTTCCTCCAACACACTGGAAGGGGCTTGGTCCTCCCTTGTGTGCCCACAGAGTCGCAGAGAAGGCAGGGTAGACGAGCTGCAGGGAGCAGACTCTGACGTCAAACTATTCGGTTCAAAGCCTGCCTGCTGCACGGGGCCGCCGGGAAGAGGTCACAAGACACGTGCTGCCCAGCACAGTGCCTGGCACTCAGCGAAGCTCTCAGGCCACCTCAGCTATTTTTAGCAAGGGCTGTAGAGATAAGGGCTGTGAGAATGGAGTGGAGAGAGGAAGCCGCTTGGAGGCACTGAGACAGAAGCAGAAAGGCCTGTCACGAGCCACGATCTGGAAGAAGGGCACTCTAAGCAGACGAAATAAAAAATGATCAAGGGGGTAACAGCTGAGATCATCGTGGGCCCTGAAATTTAACCTAAGCGGGTCTGGAAGCCACTGAAGGCTGATGTGATGCGACATGTCTTCAAAGATCACTCTGATTATGGCTTACGGAATGGGCTGGAGGGCACTGGGATGAAGCAGGAAGACCAGTTGGGAGGCCCCAGAAGTGGTCAAGAGATAAACACCAGCCTGGACTAAGGTCGTGAGCTCTGGTCAGATTCTGGACATACGTTGGCGATGGCGCGGCCTGGAAGGAGGACCTGAGGAGGGATGGCTGTGAGCCTGCAGTCTGCGTAACTGCGTGAGGCGGTGGGAGGTTTGGGTCCCGGGGGCTCAGCAGCGAGGAGGTCCGCCAGCAGCTCTCTGTGGAAGGCTGGAACTCAAACGGTTCTGACACTGTAAGCCCCTGAAGACGAGACGAGCCCCTTGCCCTTCTTTCCACAGAGCCCTTGTACACTGTGCACAGAGCTGAGGCCCGAGGTGCACCAAGGCCCTTCTAGACAAAAAGAGGATTTCAGAGGATGGCGGTCAGCATGTGGGCGCTCAGGTGAGGATCCGCAGAGCAGTGCGTCTCTGCAGAGTTGAGAGAAGAGCAAGGATTCCTGGGCTGCAGAAGGGGGGTTTGCCCCCGAAGACTGGCTCACTTTATGGAAAGGAAAGCAGGCCAGGCTTGGGCATGAGGGAGGAAGTGTGGAAAGTCTTCCACAGGGAGCCCAGGAGGAGGGGCGGGCTGCTGGAGAAACGGCAGCAACACACACGAAGTGAGTCCTGGTTCAGGGAAGCAGGAGGACCTCGGGAGGAGGGTCCGGGGTCCCGTGTCCCCTCCCTGCTTCCGCGAGTGCCTGCAGGTGGACACCCTCTTGGCCGCGAGGCCCGCCAGCCTCCTCCTGTCCCCGTGGGCGCGGGGGGCTGCGCTGCGCATCTCCCGAGGGGCCCAGCTCGCTACCCCGCTGGCCTACAGGAGCCCCCTCGCCCTCCACGCCCAGCTCGGCCTCTGCACAGCCCCCGTGGCGGGGGCGAAGCGCGGGGCGAACGCCTGAGCTCCGGGCTCCTTTGTTCAGGACTTCCGAGCGCTCCTCCGGGACGTCCCGGGCCGGCGGGGAGCCCGGCACAACCGGGGACCTGCGGCGCCGGGCTCCCGCCCTGACAGCCGGGCAGGGGCAGCCGGGGCGAGAGGGCGCCGCAGGGCCACCTCCGGGCAGGGCAGGGCCGGCCCTCCCGCGGGCGCCACCCCGGGCCCCGCACGCCGCCGCCCGCCGCCCGCCGCCCCCCCCGCCGAGCCGGCGCGAGCAGGTGCCGCCGTCGCCGCTCACCCAGTTTCCGAAGCCGAACTGCTCGATGGCATCCAGCAGCAGCTGCTCCTCGCGGCTGGTCCAGCCGCCCTCGGCCTCGGGCCCCCACAGCGTGAAGCGCCCGCCGTCCACCAGCTGGTAGCCGTGGTAGCGGCGGTGGTGGCCGATCTCGGCGCCGGCCGAGAAGCACTCGGGGCACAGCTCGATGTCCTGGCACTCGGTGCAGCGGAAGCGCAGCGGGCTCACCTCGGCCAGGCAGTACACGCAGTACTTCTTACCCAGCTCCGCCATCTTCCCCCGCCCGCCGCCCGCGCCCGCGCCCGCGCCCGCGCCCGCGCCCGCGCCCGCCGCCGTCAGCGCGCCGCCGCCCGCGCCCGCCGCCGCGCTCGAGCAACCGCCGCCCGCGCCCGCCGCCACCGCGCCGCCCCGCCCAGGCGCCGCCGGAGCCGGCCCGCCGGGCCGCGTCCCGCCTCAGCACGCAGGCGCCCTCGCGCCCGGCCGCCGCCGCCGCCGCCGCCGCCGCCGCCGACGCCGCCGCACCGCGCAGGCGCTCCGCGCGCGCCACCTCGCGGGGACCCGGCCCGCCGCCTGCGCCTGCGCGCCCCTCGCCGCCGGCCGCCCGCCCCTCCCAGCGCCTCTCGGCCTCCCGGCCCCAGGCGGGGCGCTGGGAAATGGGCGGGAAGGCCGCGCGGCGCGAGCCCGCGCCCTCCTCCAATCAACGCCTCCCGCCGCCCGCTCGCCGCCTCCCATTGGCCCGCTCCCTCCGGAGGCGGGGCGAAGGGGCCGGGCGTCGGCCTGCCCTTTGGCCAATCGGCGGGCCCACCGCGCGCGCCCCTGGTTGCCCCTGGAAACCCAACAGCAGGCGTCGGGGATCCGCCGGGCCAGCCGAGGTGCTGGGAGATGGACGGCGGCCCCGAGCAGCCCCGGGACCCCAGGGGCGAAGGCGGAGATGTGGGGAGCCTGTCCTCGGGGCCGTCCGGGACCAAGGCCATCTCTGGCCCCCATTCCCCGGCCGAACCGCCGGAGCCGCAGCCGCAGCCGCAGCCGCAGCCGGAGCCGGGGCCGCAGCTACAGCCGGAGCCACAGCCGGAGCCGCGGCCGGAGCCGGGGCCCGGGCCGGGGCCGGGGACCGTAGAGGTTTCCGAAGGAGGCGCCGCCGAGGACGAGCCCGCCGAGCCCGCCGAGCCCGCCGAGCCCCGGGAGCCGCCGGCTGCCACCGAGGCTGCGGGCGAGGCGGGGCCCGGGGAGTCGGGGGAGCCGGCCGAGGCTGAGGCCGAACCGGAGCCGGGGGAGCCCGGGGAGCCGGCCGACACCGGGCCTGAGGACACAGCCCAGCCGGGGCCCGAAGGCGGCCCCGCGGAGCCCGAGGAGCGGGCGGCGGAGGCGGAGGACACGGCGGAGGGGGAGGAGGAGGCGGGGGAGGCGGGGGAGGAGGCGGCAGCACCGGCGGCCTTCGGGAGGAGGAAGGAAGCCACCTCGGCCGTGTCTCTGCCGCTGTCCACCGCCGGCCGGGAGGAGGCTGAGCGGGACGGGGAGGAGGAGCGCGAGGAGAGGGGCGTGCGAGGAAGCCCGGCGACAGACAAGGAAAAGCAGAGCGGCGAGGCTGTGGACGAGGATGATGGGTGGCCCGAGGACATGCAGAGGCTGCAGGAAGAGCAGCTGCGCGCTGAGCTCCTGGAACAGTACCAGACGCTGCTGATGGAGCGCAGCAGCTACCAGCGCTACAACCTGTACCTGCAGCACAAGATCTCTGAGGCGCTGCGCAAGAAGAAGGGTCTGGAAGCAGCCGAGGTGCCCGACAAGGGCCCAGAGCCGGAGGCCCCAGAGAAAGAGCAAGCGTACTTCCACCATCTGGCCATGCTGGAGGAGCTGAAGAAGCAGGGCTTAGACGACCTGGACTGGTATCACCAGGAGCTGAGCCAGCTGAAGGAGCAGTGCAGGGAGGAGCTCTCCAGGGTGGAGAAGGAGTGGCAAGGCTTCCAGGCGCTCAAGAAGCAGGTGGTGATGCAGGCCATGGGCAGCTGTCGGATGCGTGGCGGTCGCCAGGCGGCTCTGCGGGAGGTGGAGCAGATCCAGGCGCTGGAGGATAAGAAGGAGAAGGAGATGAGTGCTGTGAGACTAGAGAACGTGCAGCTGAAGCAGAGCCTGATGCATTTTGAAACCCGGATGAGGGCCCAGGAGGACTTGACGGAGGGTCTGCTCCTCATTGATTTTGAGCAGCTTAAGATTGAGAACCAGACCTTCAATGAAAAAGTCGAGGAGCGAAATGAGGAACTTTTAAAACTGCACAACAAGGTGACCAACAATGTGCAAATAATAACCCACGTGAAGGAGAAGTTACATTTTGTGGATGTAGAAAACGCATGCAAGAAGACACAGCTTTTGGAAATTGAGGCCCGGGTGGCCCTGAGGAGGGACATCCTGACCAGGACCAAGCAAGCCCGGGACTGCCTGCGGGTTGACAACAGCAAGCTGAACCAGAAATGTGGACTTCTGGGCAAGGAGCTGCTCCTTCGGGACATGGAAGAGAAGGTGGACAAGACGGAACTGCTCAAGCAGCGTTTAGAGTCCCTGAAACGCCGTCACGCAGGGCTTACTATGTCCTGCAGGGGCGTGAAGCAGAAGATCAAGGAAGCCAAAGCCTTTCTCCCGTCTTAACACTGACGATGGGAGAGTCCCCAGAACATCTTTGATCTCAGCAACTTTTATCCTGAGTTAACTTTTATTCTCCATGTATGGCCCTTCTTTAAAAGGCCTGTGATCCTGGGACTGGAGCTGTATTTTGCTTAAATCTCATCATTTTCAACCTCTAAATGAGTCCCGAAAAAAACTGGGTTAGTAATCGGTTTTACGTGGGGTTGAGTAAAATATAAAATAGGTCCAGAGAAACAACAGGGATGACTTCATGGACCTGGCTGCTCATAAAAAGCTATCAGAAGCCTTTTTGTATCTGAGCAATTCCATAATCTCAAGGACCTGATCCTGAAGAAAATTGTTCCTCTTCCATATGTCAGGGTTCTACAAATGGGCAGGGGAGCAAGAAAGTTCCTGTGCATTAAGTGAATTATTAAAGCCCCTTTGAATTTATTAATGTAGTCCTGAGTCGCATCCTCAACTCAAAGTTCGCTAATTTCCTCAGATGAATCTAACGTATGTAAGCAGCACCAGCTTTGAGGTAATGAACAGGATGAGGCAGACAGGAGAAATGATAACTAGGAAAAGGAGCTAAGGTTCATCTTTCCTTTTTCCAGGAGAGGAGGCTCGGTCGGCTTCACCGTTAACGTTTGTTTCTGGCTCAGTGACCATCTGCGATTCTAATGAAATGTTTTCTTGGATCTTCTAAAGAGACGCATTTATCTATACAAAAACATGACATTTTGTTTTCCAATGAAGACAAAATAATAATTGTATAGTGTTTGGCCAGGTGCAAAATATGCAGAGTAGTGACTGTTGACTATAAGCCTTTTGTTCCGGGCAAGATTTTTTTGGACCTTGGCAACAGGACCGCGCTCCGCACATGATTTTACTCTGTATCAAATATTAAAATGTCTGTTATTCCTTGTGTCAATGTAGGAAATACCTGATAGGTCTACCTCTTTAATCCAGAATCAGTGATTACATTTCCAGTTTTCCTTGGTGCTCTTGGAGCTAGGGGCCTGTTTTCATTTCTTTTTCATTTTAAATTGAACTTCAGGACGTGCAGATTTGGGTTCAGAAGCATTCTCCCATCCCTAAGCTTAAGTAGCTCCTAAGAAGGGTGATCTAGTTTTTGGTGCTGAACACCTGTAAAGAATGATAGGAAGCCCCCTCTAGGCAGATGGGTCAGTTCCTCGGGAGAATGTCACAATTAGTTTCTCTTTTAGTGATGCGATTGTTTCATAAAATGTGTTCCCTTTGAAGCCAATAAACGACTAAATTCCTTTTCTTTTTTTTTATTTTTTATTTTTTTAAAAATTTTTTTTATTTATTCATAGAGATGCAGAGAGAGAGTGAGAGAGAGAGGCAGAGACACAGGCAGAGGGAGAAGCAGGCTCCATGCAGAGAGCCCGACGCGGGACTCGATCCCGGGTCTCCAGGATCACACCCTGGGCTGCAGGCAGCGCTAAACTGCTGCACCACCGGGGCTGCCCTAAATTCCTTTTCTAACTTTCATAGCTTGGATACACTACACTTGTTTATAGGATCACATTTACCAAACCACACAGACGTAACAATGAGGGGTGTAAAACGCATCTACTTCCCACTCCATCATCTTTCTCCTCTACAATTGTCGTCTTCCCTCCACCCTGTTCATCAAGTCCAAAGGAAAGTAGGAAATCACCCCCAAATACAGCTCTATTATGCCTCCTGCCAAAAGCTGCACAGGCCCAGGGGGTTCTTGTGGTCAGGAAGGCTTCAAAGTGAACCTGACAATGTGTTTGAGGCCTTCCCCAAGCAAGCAGCTGTCATTGCAAGACCATCTGTCCCTTTGGTTCACTAGGGGGAGAGCAGGTATTTTCAGCTGACCTTGCCCCACTGGCCATTACCCAGCCTGAACCAAGCACTCCCTCACCAACCTCGAACTCGGGACAGACAGGCTTCTTGAGAGCACAAGATACAGAGACAGATGAAGCTGGCATTGCTTTCAGCTGCAACATTACCAGTGTTCTCTCAAATTACCACATTATCTCATGCTAGAGATGTTACAGTTAATTAGAAGATAAATAATCTTCTGTTGATTACTACATAATGAGGCTCCCTCTAATTAAATTACAGGAAAGCTCCTGATCACGAAATAGCAACCCATTCATGAAGTGTTTCTTTAGCTTGCCTCTGAGGAAGGATGCCACAGACACCACCCCTGCTGCCCCAAGTCTTACTGGTGTGCCCCATCCCAGTCTCTGACCCACTGCTTTGTGACTGTCTGCTTCACCCACTGGGCCCCAGTGAGACAGAGGCCCGGGAAGTAAGGACTTCCATTCTCCCTCGGAGCCAGCACGATGCCTAGCACGTAATCATAATCAATGCTCAATAGTTTGTTGGCTTATGAACAGCCAACGTCATGGCATTCTCATTTTCTGGCACTAAGTGTTGTTTGAATGCCTAGGGTAGGCAGCTGCTGCTAAGTCCTGTATGAGACAAAATAATCACAGGTAGAAAGAGGAGCTCTCCAGAAGTAGAACCAATGAGGAAACAGCCCATTGGGCTGGTAGCCTCCCTCCCTCTAGAAAGATAAGATGGGGCAGCTGGACTAGAAATCTCTGAAATCAAAGGCTAAAGATTTTTGTCATCTCCTTGCCAAAAGAGAGGGCCTGCAAAATGGAGG